AAAGCTGAAACTTCACCTTGGGAGTCCTGTGGGAGGGTGACCGACCACTTTTGGTCTCTCCAGGCACCCGCCGACCACTTTTGGTTGTTGAAAAACCAGAAAAGTGGTCGGCCAACTAGTTTTTCTAGTTGGCCGGCCAGTTGTTGCTGCTGAATTCCAGTTTGCTGCAACAGAGAGCAAGAAAGGGCATGACAATGTAATTACAAGATATGTGTGCACAACCACCCTCCCTATCATGTCATGAACTCAAGGGAGTGTGGTTCTCAACCCTCGGGCCACCAATCATGCATTCGATGCATGATGGCCGAGAGGCGAAGTTGCACAATTCAATATGAAATGAATGCACAAGTAAACACATAAAGCCTAGAACTCTATCATGTGTATGATCAAGAGCGTCGGCGACCGGGAATCGAGACACGTTTCATCACTTTAAGTATGAAACGTCCCTCTTTTCCTGTGTTTGGACTAATACCTATTCCAAACACAATGCAACACATAACATGGCATGCACAATGCAATATAACATGGAGTATGCAAAAAATGTAATGCAATGAAACAAGCATGCAAACAACATGCAAGGCAACATGATCAAACTACCAATGCTAAGGGCATGCATACTCAAAGCAAGGCAACATAAGCATACACAATGCAAACAACATGGCATACACAATGCAACTGCATGGCATACTCGATGCAATGTGACATGATCAACTTAACAAAGCTAATGACATGCAAACAATGCCAATGCATGCATACACAATGCAATGCAACAAGGGCAACTTATCAATGTTGGGGACATGCATACTCAATGCAAGGCAAAATAAGCATGCAAACAACATGATACAATGTAACTAGCATACACAATGCGAATGGACATGGCATACACAAATGCAATGAACCAATATGGCATACTCAATGCAATGACTATCATGGCATACTCAATGCAATATGACCATGGCATACACAATGCGAATCAAGAGCATGACATGTGCAATGCAAACAATAACATAACATGCACGGTGTGATGTGACATGGCATACACAATGCTCAATGGGCTTAAACCGAATGTGGGTAGACCTCAGCCATGCCAAAAACATAGGCCATAATGCTAAAATGAAGGCACCGAAAACACATACAAACATGCATGCCAATTGGCTCACCAATTGAGGCACTAAGGTGCAACTCTCAAGAACACTTAAAGAGTGAAAAGCATGGAAGTGCAAAAACACTAAGTGCACTGAAATGAGGTAAGAAATGATGCCAAATCATTCAAATAACACAAGTATGACATGCTAGGGTCTTTAAAGCATGAAGCTATCAAAGAGGACTACAAAGGAGGCATGCAATACATGGCACAAATGCATGAACTAAGCATGGACAGAGCTCAAGTAGGTCGAAACAAAGACCAAAATATGCTGAGATGAGGGTTCAAAGGCCTAGGCATGCGAGCATACGAGCTAAGGCATAAACTAGACAACAAATGCACAATACTCAAAGACACTCAAAGAGTGAATGAAGTGGGAACATGGTAATGCTAAATGCTCTGAAATGTCATGTTAAGTGATGCCAAATCATGTACTCAACACAAATGAAGCATGCAATGGTTTTCAAAGCTTGAGGCAAACAAGAGCATTTGTACAACAAGTATACAAAACGTGAAGCATGTGACCAAGGCAACCTAAAATAGTCCTAGAACATGTCAAAATGAATCTAAAACATGTATGGAAGTATGCCAAAACAAGCTAGCTTGGTGGGCATGAGGCATGATGCATATGAGGCAAATAAGGTGGATTACACTACACCTATTAAGACCAAGAATGGGATGACTCGACCAATAAAAATTAGAGTTATATCATGACATAATAACCCCAAATAAACACTGAAATGATGGTTCGCAAGCTATGGCATGAAGGCATACGCAATGGTTCATGTTAAGGCATAAAGGGGCAAACCCTCAAACGCATTGAATGAGTGGTAAATGTGAGTGTATGACCATGAAACATGGACTGAAATCACATGACAAGTGATGCCAAATCACTAAAATAGGCCAAGCAATGCATGCTAGTAGACTCAATACATAAGGCTAACAAGCTAGATTGAACCAAGGCTATACAAAGCAAGTCATGCATGACCAAAACAACCAAAATCAGACCTTAAACATGGTAAAATATGAACAAAATCTTCTTTAAGCTAAGCCAAAAGCATGCTAAAATGATATGTCAAGGCATGATGCATGTTAGGCTATTTCATGGCATTACACTACAAGTGTATGGGGCATGTAAGGGCCAACCAAACCAAACCAAAATAGAGTCATGACATGGCAAAACATCACCAAAAACATGCTAAAATAGAAAGAAAACAAGCTAGAATGACATGCTACCTCATGAAGCATACAAAGCTAGTTTGTGTAATTAACCATGCATGGAGTGACCAAACCAAGCAAAAACAGTGGTATGCCTCAGCAAAATAACCACAAATACAAGCTGAGATATGGCCAACAAAAGCTTAACAAAGGTGCTGAAACATGAGGCATATGAAGCTAGTATTGAAGACACAAGGATGGGGGATTACCCTCTCCCATTTAGGACACCAAAACCACCTTTCCACCATTGAAAATCCTCTGGATTTCAGTGGTAGAAAGGTCATGCAAAAGGTTCAACAAAATCCTAAAGGGATGGCTCAAAATAAGGCCTAAGAAGGGGTAAATCACCCCAAACAAAAAAGTGACCTAAAATGACTATTTTAAGCACTTAAAAATGAAAATTTTTTTAGTTATAAGTTAAGCTCAAAACAGCATGAAAATAGGCTCAAAAGCTTAAGCAAGAATGAGGGTTTTAAAGGTCAAAAACTCACTCTTGAAGACCTTCTTTACTATTACAACTCCAGCAAGTTCTTTAAGCTTAAATCAGTCCAAGAACACCAAAAACAACTCCTTAGCACCTCAGCTACCCAAGGATGGTGTTTGAGTGTGTGTTTGTGTGTTAAACTAAGACAAATCTACACTTTTGAAGTACAAAAATAAAGAACCAAGCAAGATAGATACAAAACTATATGTATCTCTCTAAGGGCAATTTTCTAAACCTAGAGGAGGGAGGAGGAGCCTGCCTCTTATAGAAACCAAAAGGCAAAGCTTCTTGGAGAAGCTAAGCTTCAAACAAATCCCTCCATAGTTTATGGAGGATAGCCCAAATGTCCTCCAGCTATGCCAGCTAGAAGAAAATATCTCCAAAAAGGTGCCAAAAAGCAGCCGACCACTTGAAGTGGTCGGCCTGCTACTTAAAGTAGTCGGCCAACCACTTTAAGTCATCTCTGAGAGCAACAACTAGCCGGCCAAGGTGGGAGAGGGCCCAGGGCCTGAAAACAATGCAAATGTGTGGTGGCCAACCAATAAATGTGGCCCAAAGACCAAGCAAGCCAGTTATTCGACCAGAAAACTAGCTGGTAGAAGGAAAAGTGGTCTCCAAGGAGAAAAAGTGGTCTCCCACCCTTGTACCACCTTCCAAACAAGGAAAACAAGGTTTGTACCAAAAACAAACCATAACGGATGCAAGACGAGAGATCGGGAGGCAAAGCACGCGGCCGAAATCCTCGAAAACTAGTCTACGGGCATCAAAAGTGGTATGTGACCACAAAAGTGGTCTCCCGGACCACATTGTTCCTCTAGGTAGAGGCAACAAGGTATGGTTCAAAAACCATGCCAAACGGAGAACGTTAAGTGGGCTTGAGACAAGGCGTGCGACCAAAGCCTCCAAAAATTGAAAACTAGTCTCCAAACAGGAAAAGTGGCCTACGACCACAAAAAGTGGTCTACGACCACAAAGAGATGGTCTACCACTCCCTCCCTCCGGGAAGAGAAACAAAGTTTGGTCCACAAACCAAGCCGAAGCACAAAAGAGTTCAGAGGCTTGGAGGCAAGGCTCTCAGCCAAAACTCCAAAACCTCTAAATGAGCACAACATGCACCATTACCGAGCGCTAAATCGATGACGTCTGAGTCTTACGGTCGGTCAAAAATAGTGTGTCTGCACCAGTGGAAAAGGTATTGGTAGACAATGGAGCTATTGTCAACATTCTCCCATCTAGGACACTGAAGGCTATTGGTAAGTCTATCGATAACTTACTTCCTACTAAGGTAAATATAAGTAATTTTTCTGGTGAATCATCTGAGGCTAGAGGAGTAGTAGCTTTACAGCTTTAAGTTGGTTCCAGGTTAATGGGAATAACTTTCTTTGTAATAGACTCCACTTCTAATTACAATGTGCTCCTAGGTAGGGATTGGATTCACCTTAATGGGTATGTACCTTCGTCTCTACACCAAGCATTAATTTTTCTAACTGGTGGTGGTCAGAATAAAAAAGGAATGAAAATCTTCTGGGTAGAGGCAAATCCTTTTGTTGCTGATGTCAACAACATAGAGACTGTGCTGTAAGATGAGGATTTGGGCCCAGTTGTGATTGATAAAGAAGAAGTCAAATCGCAAGGGAAACGCTTAACAACTGAAGGGTTCAAGGCCTTCATTGAGGAAGGTTTCAAGCAGATAGGCCAGGAATTGGCCAAACCAAGCTTGATGCAAAAGCAGAAGAGGCTTGTGATAGAGGAAATTGCTGAAGATGAGGGGTGATACATGTGCAAGTAATAGAAGAAGACAAGCTGGATGAGATAGCTGATGTAATTAGATCTACTTTTTCTAGGATTTTTTATTTCTTTTTCGAAAGTAAGTTCAGCCCTAAGTGTTTGCCTAATTGTTCTTGGGCAGAATGTATAATCGACAGTAGCCCTCTGAGTTATAAAGAGGTACAACTAGAACATTTGAAGGCAGCTCCTGCCAAACTTGATGATCTCAAGGCAGATGTGCAGGACCCTTTAGAGGAATATAACTTAGGAAGTAAGGCCTATAAGAGGCCCATCTATGTAAATACTAATCTATCTAATGAATGTAAGAGCAAACTAGTTAGTTTGCTTTCTGAGTATGTGGATTGCTTTGCATGGACCTATGAAGAAATGCCTAGATTAGATAGAACATTGGTGGAGCATAGGCTCCCAATTAAAGGAAATTTTACTCCTCATAAACAACCCCCAAGAAGGATGACTAATGAAGTCACCTTATTGGCCAAGGAAGAGATCGAAAGGTTGCTCAATGCAAGTTTTATCAAAACAGCCAAGTATGTTGAATGGCTGTCTAATATTGTCCCTGTAATGAAGAAAAATGGTAAGTTAAGAGTGTGTATAGATTTTAAAAAAATGAATCTAGCAACTCCTAAAGATGAATATCCTATTCCAGTGGCTGATCTGTTAGTTGATTCAGCAGCCAAGAGCAAGGTTTTGTCCTTTATGGATGGACATGCTGGGTATAATCAGATCTTTATTAACCCAGAGGATACACATAAGACAACATTTAGATGTCCTGGTGCCTCAGGGACATTTGGATGGGTAGTCATGCCTTTTGGATTAAAGAATGCAGAAGTAACTTATCAAAGGGCAATGAACTTCATTTTCCATGATTTGATTGGAAAATATTTAGAAGTTTATATAGATAATGTAGTCATCAAATCTGATAGTTTTGATGAGCATCTAGAACATTTGCAGCAGACATTTCAAAGAATGAGGACATACAAACTCAAAATGAACCCTTTAAAGTGTGCATTTGGGGTATCTGCTGGAAATTTTTTAGGCTTTTTAGTATATCACAAAGGAATAAAAGTGGATGCTAATAAAGCCAAAGCCATTTTGGGGGCAATATAGCGATCCCGGTTGTCCCTTTGCTGTTCTGTTGTATTCCGGACTCGGTTCCGTGAGGCTGGTAGTTGTATCTATCTTGTGTCGTCCCTTAATTCCGCTTGATTGAGTTTTAGGATGTTATGGGCAGGGTTGTTACAGGTTAGTTAGGCCTTGGTTTCAATTCCTTGTTGCCCAGTTTTTAGGCGTTTCGCTCGAGCGGGTCTTCTTGCGCTCGAGCGGGGATTGAACAACCCCAGTATTTTTGTGTCCCTGCAAAACTTCTGTAGGTGTGATTTTTACGCTCGAGCGGGTTTCTCTACGTTCGAGCGGTGGCACTTGAGCGAGTACTTTGGCACTCGAGTGGGTAGTACCTTTGGGTGTAAGTTCTGGGAGCAGGAAATCTACGCTCGAGCGGACTGGTTTTCACGGTCGAGCGGGTTTACTTTATTCTTGTGTATTGGCGCTCGAGCGGGTTTTTTTGCTCTCGAGCGGACCTAGTTTTTGTTCTTGACGCTCGAGCGTTGTGTTTTTCGCTCGAGCCGGAATGTCATATATCAGTTGGCTGTGAGGCAATTTTAAATCACTTTTTTTCATCCTTTCTCTCTCTTACTTTTCCGAAAAGGCCATTTGAGAGTCTCTCTCTCTAAAACCTTGCCTTCTCTCTAGATATTGATATTGATCTAGCTAGGGTGTTTTCCTCACCTTTGGCCTTTACAAAAAGGTTGTTGATCGGCGAGGGCTATCTTTTGATCCGAGAAACTCGTGGTTTGGAGCAACTTCGTTTTCACCATCTTCCTCGTTGGGTCTCATCTTTTTGAGGTAGGGATTCCTACTCACTCTTATGGGTTTTAACCTAGATTTTGAGCCTATTGTTTAAATGGTTGATTTTGGGACTTAGGGTTTCAAAATGTGTTAAAGAGGGTTTTATGATTTTGGGCTCATAATATGTATTTTGGGTTCAAAATGATGATATTGTTGTTGGTTGGTGATATTGGAACCTTTGGGTTAATATCGAGAGTTGGGAGTAAAAGCCCTAATTTTGTTGTTTAAAATTAATTGGTATAATTAATCTGGGAAATATTGTGAACTTATGGAATCGAGTTGGAAATAATGAAATTGGCTCATTATGTTGTGAAATGATGGAGTTGGATTTATAAATCGCTCACTTTTGAAAACATTGATATTTTATATGTTGGAGCTTTTATTATCTGTTTAGAAATAATTGCTTGGGCTACCGTGGAGGGTAGTTTTGATTGTTATAGACAATGCATGATGATTAGGCAAACTAAAAACTAATCAATTGGATATGTCATAGAGTATGACAGTTGATAGAATACATTAACGTTATGTATTGATTGATTGTGTATATGACCTTTGTGTATATATGCATTGTGTATGTGTGGGAGGAGATAGGGGATGTACTCCACGGTTTAGGGGAAGATAGGGGATGGGCCTCTAAACCGGATGTTGTTTGGGAGGAGATAGGGGATGGACTCCACTATACAGCTCATATGCTTGTCAGATAATGTGTTGATTATAGCTCATATGCTTATTCCTTGGGAAAGTTTGCTTGAATTTACAAAAGGCTTCCATTTTATTTTGGCTTTGTTCCATTGGGGAAAAAAGTTGGTTTGGATTTTATTAAGGGGGGCTTTTTTTTTAAATTATTGGGGGGCATATTCTGTTTTGGGGGGGAAAAATTTGGTTTTTGGGTTTACAGGGCTTTTGTTTATGGCAAATTTTCCCTTTTTTCCCCTTCTTTTTTTTTTTTTT